GTAACACCTCCGTCGTAATATTTTGTGCGTCCTGTCCTGACCCTGGTGTCCTGCCCTGTCATGTGCCAACCTTAGCACTTCTTCTCGTAATTGTCCAGGCACCACCACCTGGTGTATTGTCCCATCAATTTGGTCATGAATTCTCCGCATGAGAACACCATCCTTTATACTGAGACGGTCCCACTGACTCAGTATTTTCTTTGTTTCTCGACCAAATTGTTCTCTTTTCCTTCTTCCTGGGAATTTTTGTTCCTGGACGTGTTTCAACAGCGGCTGTAAGCCACTATCCGTTCTCTGGGCATTTCTTATCTCTTTGTGATTAAGGCAACTAAAATCACCAATGTCCCTATGTCCGGGCTCTGTGGAAATGTGCTCCACCCCGGTCTGTCCGTTCTGCCTCACTTGCACCCCGTGAGGGATATCTGTTGACGCTCTGACCTCACATATTCCTGTCAGCGTTTCTTCCTCATCGCCCGGTCTCTCGTAAGGATTTCTTGATAAGGCGTCCGCATTGCCATTGGACCGCCCCGGGCGAAATTTTATCTCTAGGTCAAAGAGTGCCAATTCTGCTGCCCATCGCTGTTCGATGGATCCCAACTTTGCTGTCTTTAGGTGACTCAAGGGGTTATTGTCAGTGTATACCACACATTTAGCACCTAATAGATAGTCCCTGAATTTTTCAGTCACAGCCCATTTTAGTGTCAAAAGTTCTAGTTTCATGGCGCTGTAATTTGTCATGTTCTTCTCTGATTCCTTCAGAGCTCGACTGGCATAAGCAATAACCCTGAAACCTTGCTTTTGTTGTTGTGATAGCACAGCTCCCAGACCTTTAGAGCTGGCGTCAATTTCTAGCCGAAATGGTTTGTCAAAGTCTGCGTATCCTAATATCGGCGCCTCTGTCAAAGCCTTTTTCAATAGCTTAAACGAGTTCAGGCATTCATCAGTCCATAATTCACCTATCAGTTGTGTTTTACCTTTCTTTTTCTCCTTACTGTGTTTCTTTGTCATTTTGTTTACCAAGTCATGCAATGGTGCGGCAATTTTTGCAAAACCAGGCACAAATTTTCTATAATAGGAAGCAAAGCCCAAGAATGATCTGACCTCTACTGTAGTTGTTGGCTGTTTCCATTCTTTAACAGCTGCAATTTTATCTGGGTCAGTGGCGATGCCATCCGACGAAATCACGTAACCCAAAAAATGTACCGATTTCAGACCGAAGCAGCATTTGTCTGGGTTCAGCTTTACTCCTATCTCCCTAAGACGGAGAAACACTTGTTCTAATCTTTCTAGATGGTCCTCCCAAGTTTTTGAATAAACTAGTATATCATCCAAGTACACCAACATTATTTGAAATAGAAAGTCACTCATAGCACTCTGCATTACTCGCTGGAATGTAGCAGGTGCATTAGTTAGACCAAACGGCATACGGGTCCACTCGTACAGTCCCAGTGGAGAAATAAATGCAGTCTTATGTTGATCGTTGGGGTGCATGGCCACTTGGTGGTAGCCACTAGCCAAATCCAAGGTAGAAAAAAATCTTGCTCCCCCCAACGCATCAAGACATTCATCAATACGAGGCAAGGGGAATGCATCCCTTCTTGTGATATTGTTCAATTTCCGGTAATCACAACACAGTCTTATCTCCCCTGACTTCTTTTTTACCACTACTATCGGTGCCGCATACGGGCTCGTGCTGGTTGTAATAATTCCCTTTTTTAGTAGATCGTTCAGGTGTGCCTTCACCGCAGAGTAGTGACTCGGTGGTAATCTTCGATAAGGTTGCGCCACCGGCTTGTCTTGTAGTAAGGGTATCTGGTGTTTTATTACTTCCGTGTAACCCAAATCACCCTCGTACGAGGCAAATATATCCCTGTACTTATTCAGCAATTCATTTAGTTTTGGGTCCTCAGTTTCCGGGAATGTATATGATCGGCCATCCTTTTTCTTCACCTCGGCCGTCACATTAACCGACCTAATTGTTACTTCATTACTGCTGGTATTGCTCAGTTCGATGCACTGTGCCGACCTTAGTACCTCGACGTTCTGTGGTACTCCTACCAGAGTATTAGGCGGTATAAAAATTTCCTCATCCAAAACATTTGCCACTAATCCTTGAACTAGTCCCTTCTCCGCTGATGTGTATGTCCGCAGTAACACGACGCCTGCCCTCAGTGCGGCGCCACATGGTTCTATCATCACATCACCATTCACGCTTCTATCACCAATTTGTAATGTGATTGCCTTGACCGTGTTTGCCGGGACTGATATCCTTCCTCTGGTCTTGGCAAACCTGGCCAACTTGGATCCCCGACCTGGTGTGGTCGATCCGACAATATTTGTAAGAAATTCTGGCAACTGGCCAAGAATATTCATGCCCAACAGGCAAGGTATATTTGACACATTTGTCTCTAGGTTGTGTTTCGTAACGAACACCCCAACCTGCTTCAACCTATGTCCCGCCACCACGACATCCGCCAGAAAATAACCACAGTATGGAATGGTTAGTCCATTAGCTGCCGTCAGGCGCATGCATGTGTCAGACCTCAACCTATGGTCTTTTCCTTTCATCCATTTGGTGTAAAAATTTTCCGTGATTGTCGTCACCTGGGAGCCTGTATCCACAATCGCCTTCACCGCGATGTCCCCAATCGTAATCACCATTTCGGGACAGACTCCCATCATTTTGCTTCTTGGGCCATAACCTCGCCCCTCTGTAGCCTGGCCCTGCCTTACAGAGGACGACCGTTTCCCTGGCAGTACCGTGAACAGGACAAGCAAATTGGTCGACCGTCAGCCGTCCACCGGAGCGATGGACCGGCGGGTCGCGGCCGTCCAACCTGTCTCTGTTTTGTCCCGTTCTTTTCCTGATTCTCAGCTGTTGACCTGCTTTCTAACCTCTCCAATCTTTGGTCAACCTTATCCAGGTGGGCCAACAGTTGAGCCATCATGGTTTCCACCGTGCCGGTCCCCGTGGGTGGGGATTGTTTCTGTTCCGGCACAGAGACTTTGTCCACCGAACAGTTCGATTGGTCCTCATCCTCGGACCTGCGGATCGCTGAGTTCCTGACCTGAAGGAAGGTCAACTGCGGGTCTTTGTGGACCTCCTCTTTCAACTCTCTCCTTAAGATCGGGGTTGCTAGCCCCTCGATGAACTGGTCCCTCAGTAGGCGTACATCAATGTCAGGTGTTTTGCCCTTTACCGAATCAAAGGCCCTGTTTATTCGGTGTGAATACTCCATCACACTCTCCGCCATTCTCTGCTTTAAGCCTACGAACCCCGATAGCAGTTGCGATCCCGACCGTCTCTCCCCAAAGGTCTCCATAATTAGATCCAGCACCTTATCTGGATCTGATTGGACGGTTTTATCGTGGCATTTGACCTCTGCCCTAACCGTCTCTCCTATACTGCCCATCAACAGTCTTAATCTTTCCTCTGGTGACATGTTTCTCGAGGCCCAGGCCGCTTTGACCTCTTCACTGAACCTGTTGGTTAAAGTTGGATTACCGTCCCCGTAAAATTTGTTAATGTGGGACTCTCTGGGCAGGACCACAATATGGGTCTGCTTCTCGTCCAGAGTAGACATTTTATTCCTTTAGTAAAAAAAAAGAGTTCTTTCTTACCGTGTGTGTATGAAAAAATTTTTCCTCGTTCCTCAATTTTCACTGTTCCTGAATGTCCGAATTCACACACACACTAAACACAGTTATGAACTAGGTTGACTATGGGTGCCTAAAGCGGCAAGTCTCGTTGAATTCATCCTGATCGCAGCGCCAAATGTAACGAGTCCCCGAGTCTATCCTGCCGACAACGCCAAATGTAACGAGTCTCTGGCTACCCTGCCGACAACGCCAAATGTGACCTTCCCGAGTCTAACCACTCATTCCACACAACATTGACCACAGCATAGATACTCGAAGATGCAGGTTCATTATTGATCCTTTTATTACATGAATCAAGGAATGCTTCACAATAATATAATGAATCAAGAGAGATGTTTCACAATAATAGTCTGAATCAACGGACCCCCAACAGTCCTCACTAGGCTTCATCTAACTGAATACACATGTCTAACGTCCTTCTTAACACAATACAACCAACTTGATACTGCCACACCGACTCACTGATCGAAAGCGAGCGAGAGAGAGAGACTGAGAGAGAGACTGCGAGCTCAGCCGTCGCCTTCCCTATTTATCCCCTTCATATCCGTAATCATATTCGGTCCTATCATAGTTATGTTCCATCCGAATATCTCGCCTTCCGATTACTACGCAGTTGTCTCGTACCAGTCTTTTATTAAACTTGTTATCAGTCCGATCAATAGAACACCTGCACTGTGACGTCAGCCAATTCATGTCAAAGTTGACAGCGGCTTGTCGTATCGCTTTCCAACTACGCCTTGGCTTCGTGATCGTTATCAGCCCAACATCTGCACTATTGCATCAGACTGTAATACGTTGTTAACCATAGTATGGTAACTACACCTAGTTACATCTATATATATATATATATATATATATATATATATATATATATATATATATCAACAGGGATGGTCAGACAGCTATCAGTAGAGGTGGCCAGATTCATCTACAGATGGCCAGACTGACCTATCAACTACAGAGATGGCCAAACTCACCTATCAACTACAGAGATGGCCAAACTCACCTATCAATTACAGAGATGGCCAAACTCACCTATCAACTACAGAGATGGCCAAACTCACCTATCAACTACAGAGATGGCCAAACTTACCTATCAACTACAGAGATGGCCAAACTTACCTATCAACTACAGAGATGGCCAAACTCATCTACAGATGGCCAGACTGACCTATCAACTACAGAGAAGGCCAGACTGACCTAGAGATGGCCAGACTGACCTAGAGATGGCCAGATTGACCTATAGATGGCCAGACTGACCTATAGATGGCCAGACTGACCTAGAGATGGCCAGACTGACCTAGAGATGGCCAGACTGACCTAGAGATGGCCAAACTCACCTGTCTGCAGAGATGGCCACTAGAGAGAAGACCGAGGCGAAGGTCATGCCGTAGTCGCAGAAGATCCAGATGGTGCACATGACGCGTCCAAACGGCCAGTAGCCCAGCATCATGTCTGCAAGCAAATAGAAGACAAGTTTAAAATTTTGACATGGAGAGGGTGTGGGGTGGGAGGGGGTGTCAGAAGTCACATTGAAAAAAAAACCTGATGTGAAGCGTGTGTTGTAGACGTCGGACCTGTAGCATAGAACTAATTAGACTCACCTAGAACAGTGGCATCGCTAGGTTGGTTGTCACCCGGTGCGGCACTTCGTGGTGTCACCCCCCCCCCAAAAAAAAACAACAACAAACAAACAACAATGTGTCACTCCCACCCCCTTGTAATAACTGTCGATTTGTACTTCAAAAACTATTTAACTTTAATTAATTATTAATGGAACTGGTAAAAAAGCATTTTTCTTCTGTACATTTTGCAATTTTTTGCCTTGGGGTCACCCTCTTAAATGGTGTAACCCGGTGCGGCCCGCACCCCCCTCCGCCCCGCCGTCGCTACGCTTCTGGCATAGAACAAAACTAGACTCACCTGTCGCATAGAAGGACATTGCCGTGGCCGCCACCCCCATGTCCGTGACAGCGAGGTTGACGATGAGGAAGTTGAAGGCCGTCTGGAGCGCCCTCTCCTTGTAGACTGCCAGCAGAACCAGCAGGTTCCCAAAGAAAGTCACCAGAACCAGGATGTAGAGCACGACCCCCAGGGCTATCTTCTGCCAGTCTAACCCAGGGGGGTCAGGGGTGATGGGGTCGGAGGGAGTCGTGGTGTTGTTCATGTTGGTGGTTAGGAGTTTTTTTTTTGTACAGGTCTAAAGCAAGGTGAGTGGGTGGGGGTGGTCTTAGATTAATGTTCCATTATCTGTGTGGTCTCTCATTAGTGGTCCATTATCTGTGTGGTTTTAGATTAGTGGTCCATTATCTGAGTGGTCTCTCATTAGTGGTCCATCATATGAGTGGTCTTACGTTAGTGGTCCAATATATGGGTGGTCTATCATTAGTGGTCCATTATCTAAGTGGTCTTATGTAAGTGGTTCAGTATCTGAGTGGTCCATCATATAAGTGGTCTCATGTTAGTGGTCCAATATCTGAGTGGTCTCATGTTAGTGGTCCATCATATGAGTGGTCTCAGTCTCATATTAGTGGTCCAATATCTGAGTGGTCTCATATTAGTGGGCCATTATCTGTGTGGTTTTATGTTAGTGGTCCCTCGTGTAAGTTGCATAGTTCATGTTATTGGTCCACGGTCTGAAAGGATCAGCTCTAGTCACACAAGTCACCCAACACATAATGTACGTGCGATCTCATGACACATATGTGCGGTCCAGTGCGTACATAATGTGATTCCCCGCATCAGAGGTCACGTGATAGTCTCCAATCAACCGTGACATCTATAACCTCACGTGCCCAGACGATACAAAAAATGGTATCAATGTAAACAGGAAGTGGATGTATCGGATTTCTAAACTACATCGGAAATCTGGAAAAAATAGACAAAAAAAAAAAAATACAGAAAAAATAAATATAAATCTAAGTATTTTATTAAATGAAAAAAATTAGTACATAATGTTACTAACACACAGTATGTAATTGATTTTTAGCTTTTTGTAAAATAATTTAAGGGAAACACAATAAACTATCGTCCATTATTAACGTTTAAAATGTTCTGCATTCTAGGAGGAATGGTTAGGGCGCTGGGAAGTGGGGTTGGTAGAGGGGTCAGATAAGGTTGGGGTAGGGGTCAGATAAGGTTGGGGTCAGGTAAGGTTGGGGTAGGGGTCAGATAAGGTTGGGGTAGGGGTCAGATAAGGTTGGGGTAGGGGTCATATAAGGTTGGGGTAGGGGTCAGATAAGGTTGGGGTAGGGGTCAGATAAGGTTGGGGTAGGGGTCAGATAAGGTTGGGGTAGGGGTCAGATAAGGTTGGGGTAGGGGTCAGATAAGGTTGGGGTAGGGGTCAGATAAGGTTGGGGTAGGGGTCAGATAAGGTTGGGGTAGGGGTCAGATAAGGTTGGGGTAGGGGTCAGATAAGGTTGGGGTAGGGGTCAGATAAGGTTGGGGTAGGGGTCAGATCGAGGTAGACGGGGATCAACTATCGAACAAAGGGTCAACTATTGCTAATAGAGGAGTTTGATAGGGTTGGTTTAGAGAGTAAGAGGGTTGGAAAAGGGGGTCAGATAAGGTTGAACAGGGATCAACTGTTAGACGAGGGGTCAAATAGAGTAGGGAGAGAGGTCAGTTAGTGTTGGGGGGGGGGGGGTCAGCTAGAGTTCATGGACTGCACTGAGTTTGATATAAAAACTGTGGAATTATTGGAAAAATCGATAATGAGATATTTTCATTTAATAAAAAAAGATCTAAATAAAATAATAAGGCTGAATTGAAATATACATAATTTCAAAAGGCTGTTGCTTTAGATATTCGACCCAGCACTGAGATCAACAACAGTCCAAATCGATCTTTGATTGAACTATTGTGTTTTGATCTGCAAGACAGCATCATACAATCATCTCTCGCTACTGCACTAGGCTATGTAGTTATATACATTCAATTTGTAAAGGATTGGTTTCTATATGAGAAATACTGCATCGTATGAATACAGTTGGAAAAATAAATTGGTCTGAATTGTATACCTTTAATTGGAAATAAGAGTATGTTTTCTCCCTTGATATTTCTAAAAGATGAAACTTGTATGGAGCGTTTTCAGAGAAAAACTATAGAGATATTGAAGGAGTGTTTAGAAATAGGAAAAAAGAAAAAAAAAGAACTTAGAACTTTGGGGTCGTCCGTAAATGAAGCCACTCGCTGAGGGTGAGGGGGGGGGGGGGTATATTTTTATAACTTTATGAGATAGAGGGGGAGAATAACAACTTACATGATTTAAACGTGTTGTAAACGTTGTAATATTGAAGGTGTGTTTGTCAGTGTGTGTGGGGCTTTTGATACTTATTCTGTTTGGTCTGTAGGTATTTGTGACAATGATGTGATGATGTTGGTGATAATAATGTGGCAATGTGATTATGATGATATGGTGATGATATTGTGATGAAATTATGATGATATTGTGATAATGATGTTGTTATAATGTGGTTATTTTTATGAGGCTATGATGTGGCGATGTTATGTGGACTGTGATGTGGTGATTTGGTGATGATGATGTGTTGATATGTGATGATGATGTGTTAATATGGTGATGATGATGTGGTGATATGGTGATGATGATGTGGTGATATGGTGGTGATGATGTGGTGATATGGTGATGATGATGTGGTGATATAGTGATGATGATGTGGTGATATGGTGATGATGATGTGGTGATATTGTGATGATGATGTGGTGATATGGTGATGATGATGTGGTGATATGGTGAAGATGATGTGGTGATATGGTGAAGATGATGTGGTGATATGGTGAAGATGATGTGGTGATATGGTGATGATGATGTGGTGATATGGTAATGATGATGTGGTGATATGGTGATGATGATGTGGTGATATGGTGATGATGATGTGGTGATATGGTGATGATGATGTGGTGATATGGTGATGATGATGTGGTGATATGATGATGATGATGTGGTGATATGATGATGATGATGTGGTGATATGGTGATGATGATGTGGTGATATGGTGATGATGATGTGGTGATATGGTGATGATGATGTGGTGATATGGTGATGATGATGTGGTGATATGGTGATGATGATGTGGTGATATGGTGATGATGATGTGGTGATATGGTGATGATGATGTGGTGATATGGTGATGATGATGTGGTGATATGGTGATGATGATGTGGTGATATGGTGATGATGATGTGGTGATATGGTGATGATGATGTGGTGATATGGTGATGATGATGTGGTGATATGGTGATGATGATGTGGTGATATGGTGATGATGATGTGGTGATATGGTGATGATGATGTGGTGATATGGTGATGATGATGTGGTGATACGGTGATGATGATGTGGTGATACGGTGATGATGATGTGGTGGTATGGTGATGATGATGTGGTGGTATGGTGATGATGATGCGGTGGTATGGTGATGATGATGTGGTGGTATGGTGATGATGATGTGGTGGTATGGTGATGATGATGTGGTGGTATGGTGATGATGATGTGGTGGTATGGTGATGATGATGCGGTGGTATGGTGATGATGATGTGGTGGTATGGTGATGATGATGTGGTGGTATGGTGATGATGATGTGGTGATATGGTGATGATGATGTGGTGATGATGATGTGGTGATATGGTGATGATGATGTGGTGGTATGGTGATGATGATGTGGTGATATGGTGATGATGATGTGGTGATGATGTAGTGGTGATATGGTGATGATGTGGTGATATGATGATGATGTGGTGATATGGTGATGATGTGGTGATATGATGATGATGATGTGGTGGTATGGTGATGATGATGTGGTGATATGGTGATGATGATATGGTGATGATGTAGTGGTGATATGATGATGATGTGGTGATATGATGATGATGTGGTGATATGGTGATGATGTGGTGATATGGTGATGATGATGTGGTGATATGATGATGATGATGTGGTGATATGGTGATGATGATGTGGTGATATCGTGATGATGATGTGGTGGTATGGTGATGATGATGTGGTGATATGGTGATGATAATGTGGTGATAGGGTGATGATAATGCGGTGATATGGTGATGATGATGTGGTGATATGGTGATGATGATGTGGTGGTATGGTGATGATGATGTGGTGATATGGTGATGATGATGTGGTGATATGGTGATGATGATGTGGTGATATGGTGATGATGATGTGGGGATATGGTGATGATGATGTGGTGATATGGTAATGATGATGTGGTGATACGGTGATGATGATGTGGTGATATGGTAATGATGATGTGGAGATATGGTGATGATGAAATGGTGATATGGTGATGATGAAATGGTGATATGGTGATGATGATGTAGTGATAACGAGGAGTAAATATAATCTGATCATCTGTGGACGACTACTAATTCACAAAAGTACACAATCGGTTTCAAACTAAATCACTTCTCTAACCATCCTCTTTTGTGTAACAGTCTTTTAAAATTCCGTATTAAATTTTTTTTATTCTTTACAAGTTTGTACTTCGGCCACACTATCTCTGGGCAGTTGGGTTTATGATCAAATCTTGTTACTTCATTTTCACCTATTCTAATGTAAACATTTTTAAAAATTCTCCAGACAAATTAGTCTCCGGTTAAATATTAAATCAGTAATTAAAAATTAATGTAAAGATAACTATATTCTTTATCTTAATGAGAAATAACAAGATTAAGTACCAGCAGCCGATCGACCAGATAGGCGACAGAGGTTACTTGTATTCAAGGGCGTTAATAAGTGGCAGGTAATTGTCGTTTTGATTTAAAAAACGCAGGCTCCTGATCGGATTTGAAGGGATAGAGATCTATTTTTTTTTATTTGTGTTAGGGTTTGTCTCAATTAAAAGCGAATGGAATGAAAAGATGCAGCACTAATTGTTTTAAAAACGTAAATATCGATATATTTTTTTCAATTTAAAAAAATTCTTAATCCCTAAAAAGTAGAACATAAAACTAATATGAAAAACCTTTATAATAGCAAGCTTTTGAATGATCATTAAAATATTGGAGATTTCACGATCTAAGAAAAAAATATAAAAAAACTGTTATAATAACAAACTTTTGAATGGACTAAAATATGGAGATAAAATAAAACTTTCTGTATATTTTTTTTTTTTAAATTAAAAGCGTTGGTCGG